TATATGCAATTATCACATAATTGGTGAACTTAACATACAGTTACACACATACAAATACAAACCTGTTCTACCCTTTCCCCACTCTACTAAAATAGAAAGTGTTTCTATTGCTTTGTGTGTCCCCATTACAAAGATTGAGCTCACTTCCTGCCCCAAAAAACTACATAGTAAAGGAAAATCATCCTGTCAGTGACAAAGACAACATTAAAAACCAGGCTTTCTGTTATAGAGTAACATTGTGCTCCCACTTTGTCACAGTGTCACATATGCTTCCGATGGAGACTTCAGTGTCCCCATGAGAGTTCCCCCTTACGATAGCTATCCCCTTAAGAATGCCTCCTTGCATTAGCTGTCCCCATGAGAGTGCCTCCTTACATTAGTTGCCACAATCGAAGTGCCCTATTACATTAGATGCCCCCTTACATTAAACACAAAAAAAAGGCGGCACTCTGATGGGGAGACCCAATGTAAGGGGACAGTCAGAGTGCCTCGTTACATTACCTGTCCTAATTAGAGTGCCCCCTTTGTGTGTTTAATGTAAAGGGCCACTCTGATGGTGGCAATCTGTTGAGGACAGCTAATGTAAGGGGGTACTCCAATGAGGACAACTAATAATTAGTTGTCCCCATCAGAGTGCCCACTTACACTAGCTGTCCCTATCAGAGTGTCCCCTTACTTTCATAATGTAAGGGGGCACTCTGATTGGGGGCAGCTAATGTAAGGCGGCACTCTGATGAGAACAACTAATTAGTTCCCGTCAGAGTGCCCCCCTACGCTGGTTGTCCCCTAGACAGAGGACCCAGTTCAAAGAAATGCGGTGCGTTAATGGCATTGGTCCATGTGATTAACGTGCAACATACCTACTGTGTGTTACAGTGCAGCGGGTGCATGCATTGCCATGCATTTGAATGGCCCCCCAAACACACCTCCTGGCCTCAATTTCTTTGACTGCACTGCAACGAGTAGTACCGCAATAGTGTGCAATGCAGGGTACCACGTATTGCAGTGCGGTCGACCTCATTGTGGCCAGGAGGTCAATTTGGGGTGCCATTTAAATGAATTGCAACACACCTGCCACACTAACGCAGTAGGTACGGTAGGTGTGTTGCATTGTTGCATGCGTTAATTGCAAAGGCCCATGAGATTGACACACTGCATTGGTGTGAATTGGCTATTAGAACACACATTTTATATTGCTGTTACATTCCTTTGTTAAGGATCTGGAAGGAGCCAGAAGCAGGTACTGGGAGGGGCTGAGCGGATCCAGGAGACTGGGCAGGCTACAAAATGCAGGGGAGGGTGAAAGACGATTTTCTTCCATCCTCCCTTAATGCTGGATGGGGAACACAGCTGACATCATTTGGTTGCTAGGAACGCCGTGGTCCTAACAACCAATGACTGAAGAAGAGTGGGAACTTGTGGTGGTGCTAGTGTCCAGACCGCAGTCCGCCACTTAGGCAACCATGGCTCTCCAGCTTTGCTGAAACTACAAATTCCATAAGGCATTGCAAGCCAAAGGCATGACTCCCAGAGACAGAAGCATGATGGGATTTGTAGTTTCACCACAGCTGGAGAGCCAAGGTTGCCTACCCCTGGTCTGGACAAACTCTTTAGCTAAAAAAAAAAAATTAGATTTAAGGTGCCCATACACTGCACGATTCTCGTACAAGAATCGCGGGAAATCCTGCGATCGTACGAGAAATCGAGCAGTGTTAATGAAGACGTGCGACTGTTTCTACTGTACAGTCGCATGTCTTTTGTCTAAGGAGCACGCTAGAAAACCAGCCGAGAATCGTACAATTTTCGGCTGGTTTTTAGCATGCTCGGGAGACAAATGCCAAACAGGCTGGTGTGCGCACACTGCTCGTTCAGCATTGTGGTCATCGGTCAGCATTGCGGTCATCGCAAGTACGATCTGCCTGTCCAGGATGGTCAGATCGTATGTTTTTTTAATTGCCTTACAACCATCGCAAGACTAAGGTCTTGCAATGGTTGTAAAGTGTGTGGCCACCTTTACACACTGTAAAATCTGTGTCTGCTCCTATCCATTTAGGTTCTAGCTGTCCCTCATTTGGAGGGACTGTATCTCTGTTGCAACCAAATCCCCTATTTCTTCATCAGCTGTCCCTCCATTTTGGTCAAATGTATAGATGTTTATTAAGAAATGTGGTATTTAACTACCAAAGTGTTAAACATTCAACCTTTTATCCAACCTCTAAATGATTGCACTTTTTAGTTTAGTTTAGACTTTTCCATAGGAAGGAAAAGTAGTGGTGAAAAAAAGCACTTGTAGGTTTAGCCAACAAAAAGGTGTGTCCTCCTCTCAGAAACTTGACAGGTATGTCCTATCTACCTTGATGGAGAAAAGGGTCTGAAATGAATGCAGCCCTGGGTCCAATGCACACTGGTTGACAACTTCTATACAAATTGATTGTTGCTCCAGAAAAGCACTCGTGGATGATTCCAATCCAGAAATTAGGGGAGCCTTTCTCAACCAAGGTTCCATGGAACCCTTGAGTTTCTCCAGAGGTTGCTCGTGGTTCCTTGAGCAATGATCAATTTCTACCTCTCGTATAGGTAACCACTGACACCAATGATCTTTTCAGCAGTTCTTTCAAAGAGCACAAATACATCCCCTCCACTGGCCATCATGCTAATGCACCATAAGCTGTACATACAGTAATTATTAGCAGGGATTTCCTGAGACCAGGAAGTTATTTCACAGGTTCCTCCTTGTTGAAGGTTGAGAAAATCTGCTTTAGGGGAAAGTGTCCACCGTAATGGCTGAAACATTTTTTTCCAAGCAATTCAAAAAATGAAATGCACACATGGATAACACAGAAGTTATTGTAAATGTTAATTGTTTACCTGAATTGTGTTTTTTGAGCACACTTTTACTGAAGAAATAAAATATTGTAGATATATTATGTGGATGTTTTCTCTTGATTACAGATTGCAGTTTCCCAGCTGCTTTATTGGAAGAGGCACATAACCTAGAACTGATTGGTGTTCGAGCTGCAGAATCTGGAGATCTGAAAACAGCTCTGCAAAGATTTAGTAAGGCTATTGAGCTACTTCCTGATCGCGCATCTGCATACAACAACCGCGCTCAAGCTCTACGTCTACAGGGAGACATAACTGGTACTACACCGCATCTACACAATTGCAGTATAATTGTTTTGTATGTATGGTAAAGCTAAACTCCAAGTTAAACTCTCAGGCCTGTCCTAAGATTTATACAACAGTCGAGAAACGTCACCAGCACACCATTTGACGTGAAAGAAATCCATTTAATGACACACACTTGTCATTCAAATGCAAACGTTTTTGGGGCCACACAGGGTCCCCTTTATCAGGCTCAGAATGATGAAGGGGACCCTGTGTGGCTCCAAAAACATTTGCATTTGATGGATTTATTTCAGGTCTACTGGCGTGCTGGTGACGTTTCTCGACTGTATGCGCTGCACGATGCCACCCGTGGTCATTTCAAACACCCGCCTGATCTTCCAGGTTTTCTGAAATCGGGAAGGAGTGCAACAGCATACTTCTATAATTGACAAGATTTATACAACCGCACCAGACAGTATAGCCAGGTAGATGTTCTCTACTAGATTTAACTAGTGCAATTTGCTCACCAACCTGCGCACCTGCGTCTGTTATTGCATAATGAAGAAGCAGCAGCAGCAAACTGATTAGGTAATCTCTCTCAGGTACATGTAATAGAGCTTGATTTGCCCAACGAACCAGTACTCGCTTCATATTTGAGTTCTGCTGAACATGAGATTAAAAGAGGCTGAAATCAAGACAGATTTGGGTATTCTGTTTAAACACATTTAAGGATTTTACTGTATATACAAATGCAATTGTGTTTATATATATATATATAAAAACACATCTGCCTGGAGTTTAGCTTTAATCAACTGCATGGCTGTCCAAGAGGATTATAATAAGTTGTAATTAAGTTGGAAAACTTCTCTGCAAAATATCTGAATGCCAGACAGCAATCTTTAAAATGTCTGTCTGTTGTTAATGGAGATGCAAGTAGCACTTAGGCCCCATTCACACTGAGCCGATTTCCGCCGCGATATCGCGCATTTTTGCCGCACGATATCGCGAGAAGTCGCCGGCCAATGATTTTCAATGGAGCTGTCTTAATGTTGCCTGTCGCAAGTCGCGCCTGCAATACCTTTTTTTCGGCGGATGCAGCGCGATTTTTCTATTTTTTAATGCAGCCCGATGGTGCAGGTCGCGCTACCATCACTGGATCGTTGCTGGGACCTTCGCCCCGAAAGGATCCCTGATTAAGATCTGCAGTAATTTGATGCACTGTTGCCCTTCTGTTGTCTTGTACCAGTCTGGCCACTCTCCGTTCTGCCCTAACATTGACTAGTCGCTGACGGCCACAATTCGCACGTTCAGACCCAGATTTTCGTCTGACAGTCCAGTCTTTAAACACTTTACCAACAGCTGCTCTTGAACATTTAACGAATTCTGCTTTTTTGCTGATATTCGCTCCATGGCTCCGAGCGCCAACAATCATCCCACGTTCAAAGGCCGTTAAATCGCGTTGTTTACCTATATCTTCAGAAACAAATCACTTCTACTGTCATGGTAAACAACCTGCTTCCCTATTTATAATGGTCTGGCCCTCTAGCAACTTCAGCGCCAAATTATAGCTAATTATAGTTATTTTTGCCTACAAACGTCAGGTGGTCATAATAAACTGGCCACTCAGTGTATATTATGTGCTCCTAATTTTATCTAGCATTCCTGACCCCAGACTTTTCTACATTCTCATTTAATGGGAAGCAGTAACAAACACTATTCTCTGGAGGATAACTAGGGACAGAGATGTTCTAATAAATAGCTGGGAGGAGTAGCTATGGGGCCTAACAACTTTACTTACATCCTATAATTATACATTATTGTAAATGTAAACCGTATTTTACTAAATCCACTGGTTCTTTTTTTTTATCCAGGTGCCCTTGGGGATCTGAATCATGCATTGGAGCTGAGTAGAGGGAAAGGGGTTGCAGGTCGCCAAGCTCTGGTGCAGCGAGGACTAATTTTCCGCCTAAATGGAAATGAAGAAGCAGCTAAGAATGATTTTCTTCAAGCAGCTGAACAAGGCAGTGATTTTGCTAAGCAGCAGCTGGTTTTGCTCAACCCATATGCTGCACTTTGTAACAAAATGCTAAGGGACATGATACAAAACTTGTATGTGTCAAACCCATAGGAGTTCTTAGTCACATAGTCAACTTCAAGTTCAACCTAAAGAAAGAAAGTCCTAAACATCCAATTACCCTTTGTAATAATACCCAGAGGTTCATGTATACGGTAATAGTTTCACCCGCCGTATGGCACTAGCATCCATAGATGGCGCTGATTAGTATAGGAATTTCTTATACTCGTTGGCACCATCCAAAGGTGCTAGTGCCGTGTGAATAGCATAGCTGAGCAGAACTTTTAAAATTAGCTCCCTAAAGTGTGTTCCAATTTTCTTCCCATTTGGATGCCTATCTGGGTCCACCTTCTCTAGTATTATTTCTTAAAAATATTAGTAGCCATGTATTCTTTTAGAAACACATTCAGCTTTTTTTTAAGCTAACTGTTAAATTAACTAGAACTAGCTCCCATCAAAAGTTTTTTTTTCCCCACAATTCTCACAGTAAAAAAACATTTTTAGGTTAAACCACTTTTCCTACAGTAGCAAACTGTGCCTTTTGTGGCTTTTGTAGTGACCTTAAAGTAAACAATGTTCCACTGAACTATATGGACCGTTTATGTATTTATACAAGGCGATCATATTGCCCGTTGGAGCCTACATTCCTCTCACTTTTGGATGCATAACTGGATACCATTATGAGGTTTTGAAGGCTGTTATTACAAAAATCCTACCAGAGTTAATTATTAAATGTAGCAGTCATCCCCTTCCATCCCAAGGGATAGTCTGAGTAGGCTGTTACCCACTTTGATCTGCAAGTTATAAAAATGGAGATGTGAAATCACTACAGGGTTCACTTCGATGTGGGTCGGTGGGGGAGTGTGGTCCATGTTTTCTATCCCAACCCAGGAGCAGGAGAAATACCTTGTCTGTAAGTTGCATCCTGTTTATTTCAATACTGTTTGGTTGTATGCATGTCTCACTTCTGTCTTTGTGTAAAATTTGTTTTGTTACATTTTCTATACTCTGCCTGCTGAGGGCCCATTCACACCATAGCGATGTGTTAACCGCACACCTATCGTGTATTACAGTATGGCAGGTGTGTTGTGTTGCCATTCTTTTGAATAGCACCTTGAACGCACCTCCGGCAACAATACACCTGACCAGGCCACAATACCGTGGGTTGAGGCTAAAAACAGTAGTGCAAGCACTCCCTTTTTTAGCCGCACTGCAACACACAGTATTGCAGTACCACCGGGCACATTGCGGCCGCAAATGTATTCAGGAAGCCATTCAGAATGAATGGCAATGTAATACAGCTGCTGTATTGTAACGCACAGTAGGTGTGTTACACGGTAGTGTGCATTCATTTCATGGTGTCATGTGATTTAATGCAACATTGTGGTGTAAATGGGCCCTTAGGGACATTAAATATCAAAATAAATGAGCTGGTTTTTGATTGCTCTAAAGAACACCCAAATCTGAAGAGACTGTTGTGTGACTATTAGTGTGTAGTTATATTGTAATCGCTAGTATCTAGTGGTGTCATACCCCAATCTCAACAAGTCACTAATAATCTAACAGACAGATCTCATTCCAGATCCATCTAATCATACTAACAAGTGTTAAACAAAAAAAGAGGGGGGGTCTTTGGAAATGGCTGTGTAACGTGCATAACAATAAACTTTATCGCATATAATATATGAAAAAAGTATTACATAAACTTCCTATATACACTAACAGACAAACTTAAAACTTAGAGCAGGCCTCACTATAGCTGGCCATATATTAAATTTGTATCTGTTCTCATGCTGGGCAGAACTTCTGTTTTGCAGCAGACTGCCTTGTCTCAGGAATGGATACACGGTGTCTGTGTATAGGTTTGTATAGGCTTGAAACCTGAGCCAGCACTACAGGAAGAGGCCCTGAGCTGAAAAGGGAACTTCTCCCCAAGCATGAGAAGACATGAGGATTTAAAAAGGAAAAGCAGCAAAGAGAAGGGAAACAACCATGGATTACAGTAAGGCACCCATTACAGTATTGTTTTATGTTAAAAAATCTGAGGGTTTAATGTCACTTTAACTGTATTGCTATCACATAGAAGGCTAACAAGCCCCCTATGTGATAGCACAGATATGAAGACATCAGAAGTATATTAGATCCCTATCAATGGAGCACCAATGAAACACCAGAGATTGCACTTCACCAGCTTTTTATCTGGTACAGCAGCCGGAGAAATGACAGCCTGAAACCAGAAGTGATAGGATACACATTGCTTCAGGTTCAGTGATCAGAGGGGAAATCAGCCACTGGAAGCATGCCAATCTCCCTCCATTCATAGTAATTAGACCCATAATCCCACGCACCACACAAGCAAATGGACAGCTCTATAGCCACCCAAAAAGGCTTGTATGCAACAGCCATCGCTGGCAGTAACAGTGTGCATGAGCAGGAAAAAATAAAAATTACCAATAATCTATGGTGACCTGCATCAGTCCATTTATATACAACAGGCGGACGACAAATAGTTAAGAATACTAATTCATTAAATACAGAATTCTCAAATCAATAACAGTGTCACGGTGCACAACTACGGAAGCCAAATATGCAAATTCCAATAAGCATCTCTTAAAAAAAAATATACATGTGTTTGCTGTTAACGGGACCAGTATACTCCTATGCTTGTATTAGTAGTTTACTCCTATAATAAGATCAAGGGAAATGCAGTTCAATCCATATCTTGCATGCACACCATATCTCTTGTGGATCTCTGGATAAAGTAATACTGGTGTTATATGTCCACAATTTGGCAGCCAGCCCAGTTAGTTCGTTGTATCTCAGGTTAACTCATATTTTGTAATCTACAAAGTGGTCACAAAGGAGATCTCCAGTCGGTGTACTTGATGGTGTAACATTGGGCAAAGCAACTCCAAATTAACATGTGGCATGCAGATTCAAGTTTAAATGAACATGAAATCTCCTGTCTGTTAGGCTCAACAAGCCATACACTGCACAATCCAGATCTGCAGGGCCATGCACAAAGCTTGTCCGCATCCAAAACAATCACAATGTGAACAAGGCCGCTATAATGCACACGCACAAAGCCTGTCAGGTTGTCAGCTTTCAGCTTGTTGTTGAGCAAAAATTCATTGGATACCGATGACAGACAAATGTGGCTTGCTATAAAAAAAAATCATCTTCAGTAGTCATACACAAGACAGCAGAGCAGGTTTGTATTAGCATTCACTGTGGTCATTCTTGTGGTCACATATTGCTATTTTTCCAGCTTAAATGCCACCACATAAATGATATAGGAGGCAAAATGCTGCAAGTCTCTTATCACTCCAATCAAAACAGTGGCAGCCACAAGTTCTAGCATACTAACAAGTGAGACATCCCGCTATCAAACAAAACATAATGAACACAAAAAAAGAAAAACTAACAATTAGGAATCTAAAAAACAAGCAAAAGCCATGGCGTCAGTGCGACCTGGACATTAAGGTCTGACAAGTGGGTATGAGAGAGGGGGACAATGCTGTGCTAGGGGAATGGGGCTTGGAAGGGAGTAGTCTGTACTAGGTACTGGGAAGGGGGGGGGGGTGTTCCTATACTAGAGGTGGTGTCTGTACTGTGTGACAGTTTCATTGTCACACGTCGGCTCGAACTATGAGGCTGAGTGATTTTCATTCACCTCATAGTTCTCCTTTAAAAAAAAGTATTTTTTTCACATTTATAGTGCAAAGTGCAATCCAAACACTTATAAAGTGCTCCAATTAGTGCAGTCTCATGATTTTTTTCAATTAGAGGTTTCCACCATCACTCCTCTTCCACACTCTTAATGTCTTCAAAACAAGGTGCCACCTTGTATGAGTTGTACCATTAAGAAAAAACGCTCACCTATTCCACAGACCTCTGAAACAAGGTCTGGATATAGCTGGTCCCCTTTCACCCTCCGGTCGTGAGGGACGCACCTCCAAGCTCTGAGTCTTGCTTATATCAGAATCCTCCTTACCTATTAGGTGCTCATGCAAGGAAGGAAACCAAGGATCATAGCGCACTCTGTAGTAAATAAATAAAAACACATTTATTAAAAACTACTCACAATGAATGACATGAATAAATAGGTGTCAGTCATGGTGAGTAGCTTTTAATAAGCGTGCTTTTGTTAATAATTGAATTATTAATAAACATGAGCTTGGAGGTGTGTCCCGGCCGACCGGAGGGTGAAAGGGGACCAGCTATATCCAGACCTTGGTTTCGTGGGTCTGTGGAATAGGTGAGCGATTTTCCTTAAAGGAGAACTATGGGGTCAGGGGTTTTCCCCATAGTTCTCCTGAGGGTAACGGAGAACACAAACTAGCGTCCTCCCGTCACCCTAAGATCAGTATACCGCGAGCTACAGCTCGCGGTAACTACCAACAGCTCTGAGCTCTTCCAGGAGATGAGTCTTACAGGTCTACTCTTAGAGAAAGAGAAATAAATCAAACATTATGTTTGAAAATAAGACCTAGTTGTGACCATTCCCAGGGCCGGTGGTGGCGTAAGGGGGAACTTGAAGAGCCACGCGAGAGAAATCAGCGGTGCCAACGAAGCCAGCACTAGAGGAAGCAAGGCGGCACCGGAAGGAGCAGAGCCGCATAACCCCGATGCCTCCTCTATAGCGCCGGCTCCTGTCACAGGCGGAGTGATACAATATGCGTCTGTGAGGAATCGATAGTGAAAGTGCGCTTTGCTCATTCTGGCCAGGTATTGGTTAGGAAATTGCTCTTGGAAAGGTACAGCACCCCTGATCACCATATTTTTGTACATGAATACATGTAGACTGTTGTACATGAAGAAGTGTGGATTGTTGTACATTAATAATAATTAAAAAAAAAATAAGACCTAGTGTGTTTTTTTTGAGCCAAGAAAATATATAAAAGACAATGTCTTATTTTCGGGGAAACACGGTAATCCACTTATATACCAATTCAAGGGTGGAGATTCAGATTACTATAAATGCTCAGAGGTGACTGGTTCTCTTTAAAAGCATTACACACGTCAGCCTTTTTCCAGAGGGCAACTGACACCTCACCTCAAACCCACAGCAATTTATAATGCTGGCTAAATGCAAAGCAGACCTCAGAAGGTTGACCCTGCCCCCCCCCTACCCATCCTTCTGCACATCAGCATTGTATGGTATCACCACATGTAGTCCTAGAGAAATTGTAGCTGCAGGCTCCTTTATGTGCTAGAAAAAGACACACAAGTTTGCTTTCAAAATTTTTTCAGAAAAATAATTCAGAAATAAAACCAACAATAACATTAGATGATTTTTACAGAAAATCTAAAGTATATAATACTCACAGACATTTTGTATTTACAAAGATCTACAGGACAAAAGAAATGCATGGATGGATTCTTTGAGGATATGAAAAGGTAAATATTGTTTAAATGTAATTGATATAATAAACATGTACAAAGTATTACAACTGTAAAAATTAGAGAATACATTTTAATCAACTCCACTCATCGTAATGTAATCCTTGCTATTGCTCTCGCTATCTCATACAACAGAACCTGTGCGTAGGGATTGTTGTAAGCGCTTTATTGCTCCCTTTCTTGTGTCACAGCTCTCGACCAATAACTGGGTAGCAGCTGTGAAAACTCTGTGTGGTCTACGTTCCCTTTATGATGTCTATGATATCTCCCCAGATACAATGACATCATTCCCGCTTTCCAGATTAGCTGGAATCGTTTTTTTCTATTGGCCGTTACAGGCACAGTTAGATGGAATAGCAGTAGGAACAACAATGGATATTTGAAATGATAACTGAAGTCCAGTCTGACTGCTTTCTATTTACCTAATAGAACCAAACAACTGTAATGTGGATGACTCGTATAAAAAGAAGAAAGAAAAAAGTGTATTTGCTGCTTTGAGCAACCAATTGCATCGCAATCCCCTGGCGACTCCAGTGGCGAGGGCTTTCTGCCATCATTTATAGTTCGCTTTGTGCCCACATTGATGTTTTTGGTGTTCCCACACTTTCTCCATAGAAAAATCCATTTAAAGTCCAGTTCCATTAACTTTCCAGCATCTACCAAAAAACTCAAATATCCGTTTTAGATAGATACCAACAAGGAAGCTCTTCTGTTTAGTTGTAGGGGGAACTTTCATTATCCTTGCTTGTGGTTGCAGTATTGCCAGATGAATTTCTTTCCTTCTTGCCCTCCACTAAAGCTTTAAAATGCTGTAAAGAGGTGAAGATGTAATTAGTATATAAAAAGTAAATAAGCATCAGTCATTCAAGAAGATATGTTCAGATTTAAAGAAGAACTCTAGTTAAAAATGTTATTAGCCCTTGCAGTGAGGCTACCCCTGCACTGTAAGGGTTAAGTGCTCGTTTGTGTCTAAGTGCTAAAGTTATACTCACCAGACCATCGGAGGCGGCTCCCTGCTACGGTGATCAGTGAAGCATGTCCCCTCCTCCTCCACTGCACAGATGGATTACTCTTCGGCGTTCTCACATCCATACACAGACTATGCACAGTGTATAGAGCGTGATGACACCAGGATCCTTAGACCACTGCAGCAGAGAGACGTTCCAGACAGCGGTCTAAAAACAAGCCGGCTCGAATAGTCTGGTGAGTATAACCTATTTTTTTCTTTTTAGCACCTAAACACAAAACGAACACTTAACCCTTGCAGTGCTGGGGTAGCCCCACTGGGGTAACCCATCACAAACGCTTTACCTGTCAAGGGAACTGTTTTTGTCCATCCATTCCTTATGTTTACACACCTCTGCCACACTGCACAGCCCTGTCCAGCAGGATAAGAGACCCGATTTTTCTGTAGTGCAGTTAGGCAATGCTTACATGTCTTGTCCCTTTTGCCTGAGAATTCACACAGTGGGTGCCGCTGTCAGCACCCTTTCGGCTGTCATCCCCCAATCAGCTGATCGAAGGAGCCGGTCAGAAAATCTTCGTATGAACAGAGGTGGCAGCCAATGAGCTGCTGGCTCTGTTCGGGTATTCTGACATTGGTTGGCGGATGCTGTTAGAATACAAAAGAAAACAGCGGGGATTCCTCGATCCATGCACTCAAAGCATCGATGGAGAAATCTGCTCAATTGTTTTTGTTCAGCCTGCAGGTTGAATGAAACAAATAAAGGCAAAAGATGACAGTAATGTATGGAATCATGGACGGTGATCTATGGCAGTGCTTCTTAAAGTGTGGGTCGCGACCCCATATGGGGTCCCACAAGTGAACAGGGGGGTCGCGATCTGAGTCCCCGGCCAGGACCGCCATCAGGGGGGCTGTGTGAGGGGCCCAGGCGGCCTGGGCTCCAAGCAAGATTTTTTTCTTCTTCCGTTTAATGTGCAGTGTAGTGTAGTTTTTAAGGTCGCATACCCCCCACCTCTGTGCACTTGGTACCTTCCTGAGCACGTGCATGCAGGAAGGTTTTTGTTTGTTTTTTTTTACATTGACGGAGCTTCCTTTAACCCAGCAGAAGTGGAGCACAGCTGCTGGAGGTAAAGATAAGGAGGGAGAGGGGGCTTAGTAGTAGGTGGTAATGACACACTGACTGTCCGTCCACGGCGGGGGGGAGAGGAGGAGAGAAACACTGACTGACGCTAGGGGAGGGGAACACAGACGTTGAGGGAAAGAGGGGAGAGACACCGTCCGATGCTGGGGTCCCCTAAAAATTTCCTCGGCCAAAAAGGGGTCACGAGTGGAGAAAGTTTAAGAAGGCCTGATGTATGGTACTGACCTGGGAGTTTTTAAATTCAGAGAAGAGAGAAAAGAGGACATGTAAAGATTGTGTCCGGCTCTTGTAAACAGGGATATCCACAACACCTAAAAGAGAAACAAAAACAAACATTTCTTTAGTGTTTGTTGAGTTTTATTTGCAGATTTTGTTTAAATAACAGTATTAGAAGTATTACTAAAATGACAGTATTACAAGTAATATTAAAATGACAGTATTAGAAGTATTAAAATGACAGTATTAGAAGTATTAAAATGACAGTATTAGAAGTATTATTAAAATGACAGTATTAGAAGCAACAGGCAAGCACATTTTCACCAAGGAAACTGTATATCCCACCTCAATCTAACCACTGAACCATCACGTTCTCAAACAATTCATCCCCACACAGCTACCTCCTCATGTATCACTTCCCCCTCCCTTTTAGACTGTAAGCCCTCAGGGGCAGGGCCCTCCTTACCATCTTGATTTGTATTGTGATTGTAATGTCTTCCGTATATTGTAAAGCGCTGCGCAAACTGTTGGCGCTATGTAAATCCTGTATAATAATAATAATAGTCAAGATTCCCTTTTGATGATCATAATGTGATGGCTTTCCTTACCTTTAAAGGGTCGTTGTGACCCAGATTAATATCTTAGCATTTGACAGATGCCACTGTTATGTATCATTTTCTCATTCCTTTTATCTCACAGATGACAAAATGTATAAACTGAAGATCAGGGCCCAACACTGGCCATGGCCTAGGGTTAGAGGGCTGTAAGGCATGTTGCTGACCTTCAGTAACACATTCCTGTGTGTATTAAAACATTCCAGATAATACCCTGCCAGCCAGTGGAATGAGTCTGGTCCTGATGGCTGTCATCCATTGTGTATTTAGTATGGAAGTGTAATGTATACTTACAGTCCACCCACCCTGTGTCCAAACACCTAGCGCCAGTCTGGTAGCCAGGTTGAGGTACAACTTGCCCTTTAAAATCTGTCAAAGTTTCCAAAGGCTATTTCTAACCCAAACTCTGCAGGGAAGATTAAGAACTTGCTATGATGTCTGTCAGGAGATCCTGGATCATAAAAATGTCTGTGCAGAATTCCAAATCTTCTAGCAGTTCTTCCCACACAGGTATTTGAAGTGTGTAATTAGCTGCTATTCTGAGGTGTAGAATTAACCCCTTCGTGACTGACGACGTACAGTGTACGTCGCCAGCATCGGGGCTGTTTAAACAGACTCCCGGTGATTTTTAACTCATCATGAATGGGCTTATGCAGAAATCGTGATATGTAGACTTTATTTATAACTGCATATTGCTTAGGATTCATATTCCCTCTTATTTAGCTTTACCTACTTTGTCAGAGCCTGACGCTTTAGCTGGTGTGTCAGAGGTGGTCACCTGAAGACTGACAGCTACTGCCTGTTCACTCTCTGAATTCCCACACTGTACAAGTGGGAAACAGCTGACCAACCAGCAACAGTCAAATGTACTTACAAGATAAAAAGACAGTTTATAAGTGGTGGAATAATTATTATAATACTTACTAATAGTAATATACACTGAGTAGCCAGATTATTATGACCACCCCATCAGTACTTCGTTGGGCCGCCTCGTGACTCCACAAGATGTTGAAAGGAGATGCGCGGAATCTGACACTGCACTGTTGCCCTTCTGTTGTCTTGTACCAGTCTTGCCACTCTCCATTCTGCCCTAACATTGACTAGTCGCTGACGGCCACAATTCGCACGTTCAGACCCAGATTTTCGGCTGACAGTCCAGTCTTTAAACGCTTTAACAATGAGCCCCTCTTGAACATTTAAGAATTTTGCTGTTTTGCTGATATTCGCTCCATGGCTCCGAGCGCCAACAATCATCCCACGTTCAAAGGCTGTTAAATCGCGTTGTTTACCCGTATCTTCAGAAACAAATCACTTCTACTGTCGTGGTAAACAACCTGCTTCCCTATTTATAAGGGTCTGGCCCTCTAGCAACTTCAGCGCCAAATTATAGCTAATTATAGCTAATTTGCCTACAAACGTCAGGTGGTCATAATAAACTGGCCACTCAGTGTATATTCTGTAATCAGGGTGTTACATAAGTCTCGCCAAGAATATTTGGCTCCGTCTTTTTCCTCTTAGCAGTGATTGAATGAGAAGATGTAAATTCTCGACTCGTTTTGCGAAAATTTGCAATTTGATGTAGAATAATTGAATTATATGGAATATTAAGTGTAATAATTTATTATCTAGGTGGGTCTGTTTGGTTCCCTAAGAACTCGGTAGGACTGGTTCGAACACAGCACATTTTTCTAGATACAAATATGGCAAGATCCATCATAGATTCAGCTTATAACTGAGAAGTGAAAGATGTTGTTTATTTGAAAGTGCGGGCATCAAAGAAAAGTGGTGGAGCCTTTTCTCTGAGGCAAAGTAATAAATCATAATGGAATATGCAATTTAAGGTGGGGTAATTGATTCAAAATCACTTCTACTGTCGTGGTAAACAACCTGCTTCCCTATTTATAATGGTCTGGCCCTCTAGCAACTTCAGCGCGAAATTATAGCTAATTAGCCTACAAACGTCAGGTGGTCATAATAATCTGGCCACTCAGTGTATAAGTAATGTGTCAAAGGACCATTATAGAGACGGACATATTTGCTAACTTACCACATATCATATCAATGTAGGTGGCAAGGTCACAATCCAAATCGGCCGATGGCAAACTAGCCTGATGAAAAAAGCAAGGGGAAACGTTTAGAATGACTGTTCATGTAGTCCAAGAATAAGATATTCACATTAGTAACCAAACCTTTCCAAGGAGTTCTTCAAATTCTGGCTGCCACTCCTGCATCAGTGTTTCAACTTCTGGCATCGGCCTAGAGACAAAATGATTTATATTTCTAAGCTACATGTACAAGAAAAGAGGACAAAAGAAAGTTTATTGGAGATCAGTTTACACTAGAATTTGGAGACGTATTTGGCATCACTCACAATGTCCTTTAATGATTGAAAACCATAGTGAAGCATTTTGTGCAGGACAGGAGAGGGGAGGTACATGAGCTGTTCTCTGTAAAACACTGTTTTGATGAGCTGCTACTGGAAAAGTCCGTCAAGCTTGTCCTCCATCAGCCCTTCTTTAGCCATTTTCAAAAATTGTTTTGGATAAAAACTTTCATCAAAGTCTACGAAAAATCTTCTGAACTGGAGCAATGGGTAGGAAACTAAAGATGAGGTACTTTGAAAGTCAGGAAGGGGGGTGGGACTCTTCTAATTTGTAGGGAGAACTATTTCAAATACAGACTAATATACATGAGTATACGTTAAGAAGGAATGAAGGACTTACCGAGTATAGTGCACACTGGCAGGTGGTTTCGAATGATGTAATTCACTGATACTTGCTATCCAAGAATCTATAGCTTTGTGGTTCCTCTCTGCATTCTCCAGGCTCTTTACTTTTATCTGCTGCTGCTAGGAACACATAACAATAGCATGAAAACCTAAAGGGTCCTAAACCTTGTTTTGTCATTTTCCAGTTGAAAAGCTTTTTGCAATGTACCACATTAGATAGCTAGTAAATGTCAAACTGATAATTACGGAGAAAAAAAAAAAAAGTAGTTGTAATTCTAGTTGTACTATGTGCTAATCATGTTACTTACCATGCACTGTGTTACTACTTTCCCCGGCATTGTAATCTATTTTTACAAAATAAACATTCCCTCCACCCAACAAAAAAAAAAGATACTTGCCTGGCATACTGGGCATGCAGACTGGTATCTCTGATGCTACTTTGACAGGCCCGATGCTTAGAAGAGATTGTAAATATTTGGAATCCACAGGAGACTCACTACAGATTTCCCTGCACTCTAAGGCTGGGCACACACCTTACAACCATCGCAAGACTTCTGTCTTGCGATGGTTGTAAGGTACTTAAAAAACGTACGATCTGCCTATGTTGCATAGGCAGATCGTACTTGCGACGATCACAAGCCACGCCCCCTGAGGGGCGGGCTTCCGATGACCGCAATGCCGAACTGGCAGTGTGCGCTTGCGCACACCGGCCCGTGCGGCTGTTATCGTACGGACATGCCACAAACCCGCCGAACATCCTACGATGCTCGGCGGGTTTTCGAACATGTCCGTAAGTTTAAAGTCGTGCGACCTTACAGTAGTAGAGGTCGCACGGCTTCCACACACCTTAAGATCATCGTACGATCGCGTGATTTCCCGCGATTCTCGTACGATAATCATAAGGTGTGTGGGGACCCTAATTCATAACTGACAGCTTGACTTGGGTTCATTCACTTACAGGGCCAAGGCTAGGCTTTTCTTGGTTGGGGTAAAGAACTGCATGCTGGATGCAGAAGCAAGAAGATCACTGTTGAATTATTTATGCGTACTTAAAAGGAGTACTATGAGGTGAGTGAATATCACTCAACCTCATAGTTCGAGCCGACCTGTGACAATGAAACTGTCACACGTCGGTTCAATCATTCGGGAAGTGAGCGAACACATACCGGCGCTCGCTCACTTCTCGATCATCTCACTGCAGTGAGCGGTGACTGTCAGCTCCGGCTCCCTGCTCCGATCCTCCAGCGCTGCGACGGTCTCAGTATACCACGAGCTGTAGCTCGCGATATACTGAGCTTAGGGTAACTGGAGGATGCTAGTTTGTGTCCTCCCGTGACTCTAAAGAGAACTAGGGGGAAAAACACTTACCCCATAGTTCTCTATTAAGTGGCAGGGGTAATGCACCATGGTGTGAGTCACTTCCTCACTGATCCTCCAGCCATTGCATATCCTAATATTCTAAAAGTCTGGTGTGCTGGGCTGCTACTAATGGGCACAACGACATTTATAGCATACAAAATATAGATATACACAGCACTGCCTGATCATGAAATAATAGCCTTTTACTATCTTCTGGCAGCTGAACATTTAGTGTGATTAGAAACAGTAACAAATCTGTACAAATTAGGTGTTACAATACCTAATAAAATCTGTTAATGATCAATCAAGCGATATTATAACATGTGATAATATTGTTTGATATACCGCATTCTGGTTGAAGATTCTACACATAAATTGTACCTACAGAATTAGAAATATACCTCTGCTACCCCCCCTCAGGAATTCGTGGGGGGAATTTATGAAAACTGGAGCAGACAGAATCTGCAACCAATCAGCTTCTCTCTTCAGTTTGTTACATAGTTACATAGTATTTGAGGTTGAATAAAGACATTAGTCCATCAAGTCCAACCTATTAGGATCTCATTCTAGGAGTACCTGTACCCCTGTATATTACGGTCCCTTAAGAAATCGTCCAAAAGTTTCTTGAACAATTCCACATTATTTGCTGAAATCACTGTCTGTGGCAGTGAGTTCCAGACCAGCCCTCACGATGTTTGCTTACATCGTTTATACTTCCTGTCACAGTTACTCACCGAAACACTGTGCTGCTTAGACCCTTCAGTCAACCAGAGGGCCATAACAGTGGAATCAGATTGCTTTGTTGATGGTTCATCTAGAGTTAGCAGGCCAAGGTTATCAGGTTTACCATCAGGCCGTGGAACCTACATGGACAAAATAGGAAATTATACATTTTTTTAAATTCCTTTCTGTAATATCAGATGCCATTTATTCCATTACAAATTCAAAAACAAGGAATCTTCTCATAGTGCAGATGTGTCAACGGACGAAATGATATGATACACTCATTCCAATGGGCCTGCTCAACACACATTTGCAGCATGTCCTATATTTTAAAAATGCACTTGCCAGCAATTCATAGGTGTGAACTGGCCACATTGGAATGAACAGGATGTCTGCTTGAAATGCATTTTCATGCAGCAAAACTGACAAATGTGACCCTCAGTGAAAATGTCATGTCAAAGTGATCAGGAGATTCAGAGATATAGGCAAATTAACCGATATGGATATTTAGACTTTTCTTCAAAAGTCAAGTGTGACTCCACACCCTGCTACCTTCCAAACTGCTCTAAAAGTCCATTGAAGTGTATGTAAAAACAACTTTTTTTTTTTTTGCCGTCTACATTCCTTTGGGGAAATGTTCTTTTACTCCCTGCCTCAGAGACACAACAGGAAGTCAGAGGAATTCAGCTTTTACACAGGTTTTCACTGGAACAAATGTCCCCATTGGAAGATTTACCCTAATTTCTGGTGACAACTGTATAACTTTGAATCATCCATCACTTTCAGTCTTGCTAACAGTGGTCACCTGAATGGAGAGAGAGCTGAATCTACCTAGAGGGGACACAATACGTAAGTAAAAACTTCTCAGGGGTTTTAATCCTTTTTTACAGATCCCAAAACTACAGAATAAAAAAATGACTATATACACTCTGTAGTGTCTAAACGGGAGTGTGTGGGCACACAATGAAAAACAAGTAGAGGAGGAAGCACCGCCATCCACCAGACTCAACAGGAATACAAATAAACCTTCTTATAGCTCCCTGTGGGTAATGGATCCCAGAGCACAGTGCTGTCAGACAGAATGATTAATCCAACTACTTTGATCCAGTAAACGAAAGCTACATACACCAAGCTGACAAAATAGATCCAGGCACTGACCATTTTATGTGTGCAACATACTGTATACAATACGGCTTTTCAAGCACATTGCATATGTAAAACAGCTGTTAGGTCTGAATTTGCGGCCTATTACAACAGTTTACACCAGAAAATTCAATGTATGGTTCTAACTTATATATGTATGAATGTCAATAAAACATTTTTATATTAGAACTAGAATTTATTATTAGCAACCCTTTAGGCTGGATTCACACTATTGTGTTACTACAATGCATGTTATAATGCAAGTTATGAGTGTTTTGGTGCCATTCATTATAAATGGCACCCCAAGCGCACCTCCACAACACACATTAACTCTCATTTGTTTTTTAGCGATTATTAGCTTTTCATAGCAAAAGCAGTCGCATGAACCAACAACACACAGTTTAGTAGTATATTCAATTGAGGCTCATAAATATTGGTTTCTTATTAGTCCTGTACAAAATTGATCAACATACATTTTTTTTTACATTGACTGTATTAAGTACAATACCTTTAAGAACGCATCAATATCTCCGACAGCAGGAATAAAGTCTGGGATAAATGGTTTCAATCTATGGTCCAAATCTATGGCGTGCGGAGTGTATCTGGAAAAATAATAAAAATATTTAAAACTACTGAAGGTCTCTGTAGGCTAAAACTACAACTACAAATCTTACCACAATCTATAAATATGATCCTTCAAAATGGGAGGAGGCGTCCACTCAAATGATGTAACTGATTGATCATGTAAATAAAAACGTATCTGTGAACTCTACTCAAGACCCAGTATGCTGTCTAACAGAGAAGCTGCAACACAAACACCCCAATACATTCTTTACTGCAGCAATATTCCAATAGTGTCAATTCAGTGTACCAGATATGAAGGGGTCTGTTGAAAGAATAAAACATTAGTGAAGTTACTAGTACTTGGCTGACCTATCTGTGACTTACTAAATACCAATTCAATTCTGGGCAGTCTGGACTGGAAATGTTAGCATACAGTGCATCAAACATGGAAGAAAGAGTGCAGGAGCCGCAGTGTTACACTGTGAATCGTCATACTTCCAAAACTCCACATATGCATATCTCCATATACCTGAATACAACACAATGCCATTTTCTTGCAGTTCTCTGCATGCTGTGAGTGCATGGTGTGACCTATGAGAAAAGTCACCGTATCCTTAAAAACTTCTCATATGGACCTTATATGCAAGGGGTAATTGCTAAGTGTTATCAGAAGATTCCCCAAAAGACACTTCATATTTATTTAAAGATATGGAGATAGGAGGGGCGTGGCCAGGATGTGAAGCAGCGCGGACGTGTCTGG